TTTCAGATTATTGCTACTCACTGCTTTTTTTATCAAAGTATCTCACATATTCAGATAAATTAAGTGTAATTATCGTTAAGAAGTTACTTTGGATCAAATGTGTTTTTCTTGTACTGATAACCTCCTTCACTGTTATAATCTGCTGTTACGACCCACAAATCAGAACTTCCCGTGTCTGGTATAACCGTAAATTTCTGTGCTATAAAATTACTGTAGTAGATTACTGTATGTAATGGTTGCTGTGAATTGATGACATCCAACTAATATCTACTCAAAACAAAAAATCCATATTTTCGATTTATGGAGTTTTCGGGCTGAGATCTTCTGAGGAAATTCATTGTTTGATGAAGGAAATGGAATTATCACGTGTATCTCTTGATATGAAAATTCGTTCCTCAGATTTGTATAGTTTCATACAACAAATAATGGCACTGAGATTTGCAGCTATTATGGCTTATTTACTTTTGTTTTATTTTTAAGTGAGCTTCAACGTCAAGTTAGTAGTCACTGTGAGAGCATAGCCTAAAAAGCTAATGTCATGACGTGACAATTTGCAACGTACGTGGTGTCCCAAGAGTGATGTTGATTGTGTAAAGCAGGTCATCAATACTGTCAACAGGAATGGTTCCAGTTCGCTTGACAGGCTTATATAAACGCTTCAGATTCTTTTGTATCTCATTTCTATAATTATATTCGATTTACTATTTGCGCAAATAGTCCTCAAGAATTTCGGAAAATAAGCTTATTGTGTTTTTGTTTTGATGACACATTTGTGCAACGAATTTTTTATATTCGAATGAAGACACCCAACAGAAACAGAATCATTGAGTGAAGATACCGTATAAATTTTCGACGAAAGGCAACATTTCTTGAGAGTTTCGCTCGATACACCTCAGCTTGTATTTCCAGCAATACACAGTACAGAGTTACAAAAATAAGCAGTGACGTTTTCATCGTCTGAATATACAATTTTTACGTGAAAAAATTTTTCAAATTAACGTGAAAAAGGCGCAAACAAGTGGTTATTTGACGTGAACTTTGGAGCAGTTTTAAAATTTTGCAGTGTTTTCTTACAATAATATAAATGAAATTAAATTTTGCATCTTTCAACAAAGCACAAAAATTTTGATTTGCGTATACGTAAGTAATAAAACTTGATGTTTGGATTCATCGTCAAAATAGTAAAGTAATCTTTCATGAAGGAAATGGAAACCGTTTTAGGGACAGAATTACCATCGGAGGAAAGTGACAAAAGTGATAACGCACAACTTGAAAATGCTTGCTCTTCTCTTTTTAATGGTTCGCTATGATAGCTGTTCATTTTGATAAAAGATTAGTGATAAGGTTGATAAGGTGTAACTAAGGAAAGTGTAAAATAACACTATCAATCATGTCAGTAGTTTTTATCAGAGGCCAGTTTTCCATTACCAAAATATTCACTTTACATGTGTATTTGCTGCGAATCAAACTTTCTTCAGAATTATTTATGTACATAAAAAGCAATTTTTTGCTGATAAAGTAGAAAATACTTCAAGCTTATCTTTCGCTGATATTTTTTAATATGTTACGACTTTGTTAAGCGGAGAATCAGGTGGGTGGACTGGTACTGATTCATCGAAATTCCGTTTTACTTATCGAATTTTAGTTTTCTAATCCATTCTATGAATTCATATAAACTGTTTGATTGCTGATTTTTTCTTACAAAGATGTAATTTTTGATTATTACAAAATTATGAATTTTGTAAATGAAAATTTTGCTAGGAATTTGATAATGAATCAAAAGTACTGCTAAGATTCAATTAGTTCGGTTTAAGAATCTATTACTATCGTATATTATTGGCAGTTTCATTAATTTCTGTTACAAGTATAAACTAATCGAAAATTAAAAGATTCACAGATATCATTGAATATGAAAACAGAAGATTAATTTAAAGTAAAATGAATATGTAAAAATCAGCTCTTCTCATTTGCATATCTCACAAATTTTTACATTAATTACAATTAACTCCAAATAAATTACATTTATAATCCCACAAATTCTAAGCATTTATTTTATTCAAATAATTAATTTATTATTAATATTTTCTGAGGTTCTTTTTTGATTTTGCAAACTGATAAGTTAAGTTTTTATTATGAATTTTTTTGTGACAAAAGTAAAATGAATATGTAAAAATCAGCTCTAAAAACTTAACTTATCAGTTTGCAAAATTATATTATCATAACATCTTTAATCCAACTCAACGTCATTCTAAACTTTTACCCTATTCAAGTTCATTCTTATTATTCTCTTGCCATTTTACATTACATATTTTTTCTTTCTTTTTTATCTTCTCATATTATTTAGTTTTACTTTTAGAATACTTTTGTTCTAACTTGCTTAATTAAAATTGGCTATATTAGATTGAAGTTGCTTAAAAAACAAGAAACTTCAATTTATAATTAGCCAATTTCACTTAAAAATTTTACTTGAAAAATCTTTTTTTTAACTGATTTATATACTTTCACGTTTTTTATAAACAAATAAAATTCCCATATCAATTATATGTTTTGCAGGAAATTTTTACAACTACGTCACATGCGTTTATACTTTTGCAAGCAACGTACTGTACTCGAATATTTTCTTATTTTTCCCTCTCACTGCTTAGAAACTAAGATTATTCAAAGTTTAAACTTGACTTACTTCTGTATAGACGCATTGAGTTGCATCAAATGTTATAAAAATTGAAGTCTACTTTTCCCACGCTATTAAATTTCATTGTTTTGATACTATCATTGATGTCTGTTAATTCAAATCTAGCAGTACTAATTTTCTTTGTGAAGTTGAAATACGGCTTTTGCTTATTACTGATATTCCCGCTAATATTTTTAAAATTAATATTTATACAAAATTTTTCATGTCAGAACAAATTTAAATAAAGGAAGTTTAGATAAATTATACTAATCAGATGCACCATAACTATACATATTTGTTAACAATTAGAGATTATATTTATACATGGGTAAATCTGTTTTGTACAGTTTTTTTCGTTATGATCCATCTATATTGGTATTTATTTCTATACCACAGTTTAATACTAATAACATATTAATGTGTTTTAATATTAACACTACATAATCATCACTCAATTTTTTCTACTGTAGAATTCGTACCAACCATTCATTTTCCTAATATTTCAAGGTGTTGTTCTTAGACTGTATTCAGATTTATTCACTACTCACCAAATTTGCATATTGTCTTCATGTTATCAAAACTGATCCACTCTATAAATAAAACGGAACTCCCTAAACGAATGTTGCATTACGGAATTGTAATTTTTTAGATTTACGAACTAATTAAGACAAAGAACTAATTTTTGTTGAGCTGTTTTTTTTGACTTCAAATGTAGAAGAGATAGAAGTTCCAAGTAAAATATCTTATATAATGTAACTAACTGTGATTTTTTAGATTTACTTTTTTTTAATTTATTTTAGACAAGGAACTAATTTTTAGATTTAGTTTAATGCTTTCTATCACTTGGATCTAAAAGTGGCACAAAATATTGAAGAAAATGTTTTACGAACTGATTAAGAGAAGGATTTTGTTGCTTTACGTATCCATAACTAGTTATTATTAGTGCCAACTTCAGCTTCAGCTAATAACTTCCAGTTTCTTTTGTATTTTATAAAGTCGTAGTAATGATGAGATCTCTGGCTATTGTAAGGTGATCTATCCGTTCTTCTGCCAGTTTTCTTCACCGAAAAATGTTCTGAAAATTTAAGTTTTCTATAATAATCACTTTACATGTGCGTTATTTACTTGGTCTTCCACTTTTAACTTTTTGATTTTCTAAACAAGTTTCGTATTTTAATTTTGAGTGACTGATATGATAGCTTGAAATTATGAGACCAAAATTAATAATTTTTTATATTTATATTATCTTTCACTTATTGAATTAATGAATTGAGCTGTTTCACGTTGTGCGCATAATACTTACAAAGTAAACTGCTTGATTTTATATCTTCTTGTATATATTTGCATATGTTATCTCAAATAAACGAGTGAACAAACAAGTGATTATCACTCAATTTCGAGTTTCAGTTTTGGATTATATTTTAGGAAATGTTAAGAATTTTGTTGGATCAGTACTTCAAGAAGTTATTTCCTATACAATACCTATAAAGTATTCACATAAATAAATTAAAGAGAGATATATACAGAAGGGATACCGTAATGGTCAGCTTTGTATGGACTGCAAATCACTGGTTATGACTCACTTCTTTAGTCTATCAGAAGGAAGTAAGTCATAAATAAGTCATAATTCATTCTTCTTGTTGATAGATAGACTGATAAATCAAAGTGTATTTGATAAACAAGCAGTTAAGGAAGTAAAAAAAATTACATTGTAATCATTTCGATCTTTTATTTACAAAAAAATGTATTTACTCGTAAGTTAATGTTTTTTTATTGATACGGTATTCAATTCAACAAAACTAGACTCATTATTTATATTTTATTTTGAGACTACAAAAATTAATCATAAAATACAGTATATTGCAATTTTGCTATTATAAATTATGATTAACGCATTTAATTTCAAAACATTTGGGATAAATATTCGATGAATTCACTTATCAAAAATATTTTCAAAAATTTGTGATAATACAATATATTTGTATTGCATCGTTTTTTTATATTGTAGAGTAAGCTTAAAATTATTAAAAATAAAGTTCGTTGTTACTTTGTATAAAAGTCTTTGTCTTTTAGTAAGTTGAACCGTTCCGTATTCAATTTTAATTTATATTCAGTTTTGATCTGAATTCATTTTTAATTTTATATTCAGTTTTAAGTTTTAATAGTACGAGAGAAATAACGAAGAAAATTTATAATTGCATTTGTTCGGTGTTGACTGTTACTATCTGTTACTGTAATTAACTAAATTCAAAAGTTTATTATGCCAATACATATTTTATACAATTATCACTTCTAAAATGCATATGATTTGCTGTCAATAATACTGTTACTTATTACATTTCAAGCAATTACAAATTATGAGATTATATTGTAGAAGACGTAAGGTTTGTACTGTAATTATCTATCAAGTTTTCAAAATCAAAAAACCAAATTTTTTGTTTTACGTGTATTTTTCTTCAAACAGCTATGTCATTTATTTTATCACACACTCTCAACTTTTTGAAAAATATGAAATTCTTTGAAAATTGTGGATTAATTGAAAAATATCTGATCAAAAAAAGATTAAGCTTGCAAGGAATTAATAATGAATGTTTTTTGGATATAATCTACTTTAGATTAGCACACAATATTCACAACATTATGAGATGTTTGTTGAAAGATCATGCATGTCTTTGCTCTTAATATCTTTATAAATCACCGTAAATAACTAGATATCAGAAAATTTTAAATAGGTCAAAGGACAAATGCGTTTTCACGTCTCATAACCTTCTTTTTTGGTTGCAGTAAATTGCTGTTATTATGGCGACTAGGATATATTTGGGGATGAAAATATATTCATATTCAAGAACTTATAAAAATCTATGCAGCCCAATTTGTTTAAAAGTACGAATACAAGTACAAAATTTCTGAAGTATATCAGTGCTAAGTTTTTATAATTCTTGTTCAATTTCTGAATGTAAATAATACTGTATAAATATGTTTCAGGACATATAAATTCTACAATTAGACCCTATTTTGATGCGAAGAAAGGAAGAATAATGAAGCAGAGTTGTGTTTCAAGTGAGCATATAATTAAATATTATGATTTGATCTCATTTCTCGATCGGTCATTGGTCATTTTAGTGCTTATTACGGAAGCATCCCAATGCTTTTGTTATATTGAGTGATGCATGTATGATATGAAAGTATTTTTATCAGAGGAGATTACAGAATCCATCCTTGATTTTCAAGGATGGATTCTGTATTTTAATAGGTTATAGAGAGGGTATCTTGTATGTACTGCATGTAATCAATGTAGTCGTCACTATAAATCTTCAAAATAGTTAATTTATCTCTTCTCTAAACAATAGGTCAAATGCCATAAGTTTTCAAAATTAGCTTTTTAAGGCTTTCAAAGATTAGTGACACAGTTTTTGCTAAAAACAAGTCTGTAAGATCTTTTTGCCAAGTAAATAACATTAGTTAAAATGATAAAATAGTGAATAAGATTAATTAATAGGACAGATTTCGTTCTCTATAAAATTAAATTCATAATAAATGTATTCATTATTAAATTAATTGACTGATATCACTGCAACAAATTATGATAGTTATTTTACAACAACGATTCATATGTAAGTCAAACGTTGTAAAATTACAGTAATTTGTTCTGGTATAGGCAATAATCTGTTCTGATCTATATCTGATAACCTTAAAAATTCAGATATAATCAAAAATTAGCTATCGCAGTGTAATATGCATGAACAAACAACAAAATGATCGTTGACTGATTAGCATGAGTGAGAATGGTAGTATGAAGATTAAAATTAAAAATGCTTAAAAATAAATATATTAGGCTTAAGCTTATTAGCTTAAGATTATTATCTCTACCATACGTTTAATTCTTCTTTGCTTTTAATTATCGCCAAAAATCTTTCTGCTTGAATTAAGGAATAAAATTTAAGACTACCAGTTTGTTCTGTTTCACTTCAGAGATGAAAAACTGATCTGCTCTGCTTGTAATGAGTGATGAGAATTACTAATTTTTTATTTTGTATAAATAGGAATTATTTACTTAATATTATTTCAATAAAAGTAATAGCAATAAAGTTAGTTCAAATATATCCATTTTCTGTCTTGTTGATTCGTACGAATTTGTTATTTCAATTAAAACTATTTAAAATTGATGTATTGGCAAACTAAAAAATTCCAAATCATTCTTTTTTTTTTTGAAAACACTTTGATAATATTTGATATTAACTGTTTTATTATTTTTTTTAAACATTTTTCTAGTTTGATTGGATAGAATCCCACAGTAATCTAACAGTTCTTAAAAAGTGCTTTATATATTTACTGTAAGAATGAGAGGGGCATATCGCATTTGTATGTGAATGGCCAGAAGTATTGTTTATTGCCATAAATTAAAATATTAACTTACCAGTCCGTGACTTGAAGAAACGATTTCAAATTTAATCTTATTATTAATTTATTTTACCTGCTTTATTAGAAAACATTTCCAGTAAAATACTTAAATTACTAATTTTATTTTTGCTTTAATTACAATTTATTTCAATTGATTTCGTATTTCATTTCGAATAAAGGAAAAAGGTGTCGAGAAAATCAGTGCAAAATTCTCAAAGATGCAGAACTTTGGAACATATTCATTAATGATTTTACTACTACCAGTTCTCCAACATACTTAAGCAAAAGGCCAGATATATTAGATTTATATTCCGAATCATCTTAATGCTCACAGTGAGAACTATCCAAATACAAAAAATTAATTCATTATTTTGCACATTATCATACTGTAATCAAAGAATATAGTAGATGTTACAGTATAGTCAGAACATGATCATTTCTTTATGGCACCCACAAACAACTTAATCACATATTCAGTGGTAAAGCAAAACCAATGCGAGCATTTCCAAAGTCATACACACTACAGTATGATCGAAGGAATGGATAGCCAAGTGCCCAGGATGGAACAAATGCCACGCTGTACTGTTCTAGTATTGACAGCAAGCAAATATCTTGCGACTCCAACTTGAACTGAAACAATTAACAAACTCATGCAGGTCAATGTTTAAAACATCTGAACAAACTCGTAAACTCCGCGCAGGCATATTTAGTACTCAAATGTACATCAGAAATATGGCTTACTTTCCGAATGTACTGATTAGACGGTACTTGAAAAATGTTATTTTGCAGGTCAAAGATAAGAGCAGGTCCGCCTTTCTGCAATTTGCAGTCTACTTCATACTCATTGAAATCAAAATTCCAGGTAGTATTCAACTCCTGCATAATTGGATACACAAATGAAATTGGAATGCCCAAATATGCTACTCCTGAATCCGA